ACAAACTTACGATCCAGGTTGAAAATTAAATTACCGAATTGCCCGTAAACAGTAGTAAGATTGGCGACTTATATCCCTAATTGATTTCATATTTACACGCTTGGTAAATAATAAACAGTTCTATAGCAAAATAATCGTAAACCCTACCATCTCTCCAAGCGGTACGCAATTCTTATTTCTCCAAAAAAAATTCAAATATAACTTTTTATGGGTATAATTTTTTAATTCATTAGATTTCAACAATTCCCTTAGATTTGTTCGAATTTATGGGCATATCTGGAAAATATGTTCGAAAGAGAAGGTAGCATTGTTTACATTAAGAAAAGAAGTATAAAAATCAAATTCCCAACCTAATTTGTTTATGTAATTTGTTTGATGTGGGTTTTATTGTATATTTGATTGTGAATAGATTTCTTACAAAATTCACATTACATCCATACATCTCCGGTCAAATTTGCAGGATTGTGGTTGGTGTCGGGTACCGATTTTTCTTCGCACGATATTGTGGGCATTAACATTGTCAGTGATCGTTCTTGCCAGTTCCTCTACATATCTGACTAAGGTTGTTCTTTATGATGTTTGTTTCGTGCTTGCTATGTTTTTGTTTGTTGTTTACGTGTGCACATCACATGTTATTTCCTTTTTCGAAAAATAAAATAAATTTATTGACTGGTAATATTAATTGTTGTGAAATTCAGAAAATGTGTGTGATAAGAAATGGACATAAATACTCAACAATAGACATTTGATGTTGCTTTGCCATAAATCGTTGATGACATAAGATTGAGTCTTATGTTGTTTGTACAATTATGTGAGTCTGGACGCTGTAGACTGACAAATGTTATCGTTCTTCCTAGGTCCTATAGCTTGAAAGATAGACTTCCTCATCAATTAAGAATTTGCGCAAAGTGATTGGATTTAATGATAGCACATGCCGAAAACATTTACTCATGAATATGGATACCTTTAACCGCTTGTGTTTTGTTTTGAAGAACATTGGCGACCTGGTTTCCACTCGGAATGTGTTGGTAGAAGAACCGGTCGCAATATTTTTGCATATATTGACACACCACACAATAAATAAAGTCATTCTTCAAACAGATTATGCGGCTGACAGTAGAATCCTAGGGGATGCTATTACTCAACCACATGGGTTAAGGGTTCCCACGGGTATGGTATTCTTTTCCCAATAATACACTTTGTAACATTCAAATTATAATTAAAATATTGTCTTCAAAAATCATTTAATTGTCCAGGCCAGTACTACTTGGTTGATAGCAGGTACACAAATGGGCCCCGCTTCTAGCGTCGTATTTGCGAATTATAATGAATGAAATATATCTAATGTGTAATTTTCTAAAAAAAATGTTTACAAATTTCAACAAATAAATATTTCTAAAATTCATATAAAATGTTAAATTTATAAAATTATACTAATTGGTACAAATTTAGAATTAAAGTATTTATAATATTCATTATTATTATAAGTTTTATGTATCATAAGCATATTTTTTGAAATCGGAATATATATAAAATGCAACGTTCGAACATTGTTGCGGAGACCGCCGTTCCAGATACAATGCAACGTCACGGGAATTTAGTGGTCGAAACGGACACTTTTTAATCAAAATGCTGAAACTAGTTTTAAAAATTATAATAAGTTACGCAAGGATGGGCATGGGTTAGGTAGGACAATTATCGGTGAATTACCTACCAGACCCGATCAACTGATTTTGTTAAATATTGAACTTTACTGACCCGACTATTATGGATTGGATAATGTGACAACCAACTTTGTCGGGTACACAATAGGTCGGTTGGTTGGTACTATGACCATCTATTTATTGATTTTTTTTTTATAGTAATTAGATATTCTAAAGTGTTTTTTCAGAAAATATTCAAAATTACGGAAACTTTTTATGTTGCCATAAACTTAACTTTAGAATTAATTTTTTTATTTAACTTCTACAATAAGTAAATATATAAGAAATCCTATGAAATAAGAATTATAAAATAGAGAGAGATTTATATAACTTGTGTTTTCAGTTTTTGAATTGACTTATTTCATATATTTTTTAACATTAAGAAAATTAAAAGTTACAATTAAATATTTATAATAAGGGTCTATTAGATATAACCCCCTTAAACATTCAAATAATAGGGGTAAACTCAAATTTATATTTGCCATTTTGATAACAACCCAAACTTTTTCTAATTACATAATTACCCTCAATCAAATCCCACAAAACCCGTTACTTTACCTTTTGAAATAAAATCAAATCCCTTCCTATTTTCCCGTTAAATCACTATCATCCCAAACCACTATCAAATAAACTGCAAAACCTCCCAGAACAACTTCCCGGTGCGGCCGATTGAAAGGGGAAGACGTCTGCACTGCCGTGAAACGACGATTTTCGTGCACTCCGAGCAAGCTGTCGTAGGTACGTCGTCGCCACTCGCTGAATCGCTATCATCCATCGATTTGTTGATATGTTTTGGCTAAATCGACTATCACGTTTGTGTATTTGCAGATCTGTTATAATCGCATGCCGCATTCGAGCACTAAATCAGTGATATTGAAACAATTGATGGGCAGGACATCCACCAGAAGTGATATCGTCGTTGGCCGCCGCCGTCGCCGTCACTACTCCAATCTAGGGTTACTCGAATATAGGATTACTCAAATCTAGGGTTTTGATAATTCTTCTGCCCATAGTTGATTAACGAGATGCATAGTCGAATTACATCTGTATTAATATATTATCCCATATCATTTAGTAGACTATCCCACTGGTATAATTTTACTATGGATCTCGTTAATCGACTATGGGCCGAAGAATCATCAAAACCCTAGATTTGAGAAGTGACGGCGGCGGATTTGTGTTTTAAAATTAATAGACTATATCATATCTTTTAATAGACTATCCCATGTATCTAATTCGACTATGGGTTTAGTTAAATGACTATTGGAAAAATAATAATATATATGGAAACTCAATAATATGTTTGTTTGAAATACTAATCAATTAGGGTAATTTTCCTTATATCATATCATGTATTAGACTATCTTATTCATCTAATTCGACTATGGATCTCGTTAATCGACTATGGATCCCGTATTATTCAACCACATAGTATATTAATAATTTCAATATAGTACATTGATCTGCTATGATAGTATATTACGATTATAGTAGTGATATGAATTGTGTTACAAACAATATACCACTGAAATGACAAGAACATTGAGAACAACACCAACGTAAAGTATTCCAACATAACCAATAAAATAGTACATTAATAATCTCATAATTTCAATCTAGGGTTTTGATAAAATACATAAAACACATCATAACACAATAAAATCAATATGTCGAGTTAAAAAACTCTAGTACATTAATAATCTCATAATAGTATAATAAAATGATAATGGTAGTATCATACGATATTCATAATAGTATACTACTGTATTACAACGGTTTAAAACTTAACCGAAGTTACCGAGCCATTACATCGTAAACACCTCTTTATAGCAACCAACCCACCAAACCTCAACAAAATCCTTACGAAATTCGCCATCGAAAAAACCTAAAATCATGAAACAAAATTAAAAATGCAGAATACTAAAAAATGATTAAATAGACTGCAAATACATTTGAATGACAATACATTAATATCATCAAAAATAAACTTAAAATGCAAAATCCATACGCTAATTTAAAAAAGACTACGAACTATATTTTAATGTACTACCCAGCACACTTAAATCGACTGTTATAAACAAATAACCAACTATCGATCGGGATCAAAA